CATCGGCATGCGCTTGAACCATGATGGCGGTGCCGACTGAGATGTCTCCACCCTGGACGGAGGCGCGTTTATCGAGGCACCCTAAATTACTCTACTTGACTCTGCCATCTGATGGCAAGCGATTTAACCTTCTTTCACGCCTCGCTATAATTTCTGATCACCATGCACCAGCTGCTTCGAATTCGATCCTTTGAGAACGGCTTTTGGTTTCGCGAATGGTTTACCACTCATCCGTGATGTGCGGTTGACGAAGGAATTGTGCGCGAAGAAACTAAGTATTGGTTGTCTCCGTTTAACATCACAGTGCTGACGACGAGAAGACTGAGTAACTGCTTTCGAAACGCAAGTTTCTTTACCTGCGGGGGGAAGCTGGCTTTGGAAATAAATACAGTTCGCGAAAAGCTCGTGTTACGTTTTGATTTTCTGCTCCTCTCGCCCCGTGCAATAGACGTTTAAGCCTTATTTAGCTCGATTCGGGGCCGCCATGATGAGATCCAGAAGACGGAGGAACTTTGCCGCCCGGCTTTCAAGGCGAAAGTTTAACATATAGGTCACAAGGGCGTTCCTCCCTTTATGGAGGACTATATATACCCTTTTTTCTAAGAGTGTAAGATCGACTTGAACTCAGCTTTCATGCATATTACCGCTTTGCCAAGGGACAACCCCGCACCATGACTCATTTTCATATTCCCCTTACAACTTCATATCTATTGTGATTCCATAGTGGCCTATGCTTCATAATTGCTGCATTCCTTTTTTCATTTCTTTAGCATATTTTCTTTCTGTTCTTCTAAGTATAGTTTTCCCTCATTTAGCCACACTCCTAGGTATTTATCTCTACGTGTTTTATTAATACGTCTTGAATTTCAGCGCGTCCCCGTTCTCATTGTTATAAACCACTATTCCCGCGTCGTTGCTACAGAATTTCAGGGCCAGAGACTTCCTTCCTCTCCACAGATTTTACTCAGCTCCAAACCTATCCCGGATATCTGCTAACAGTACGTCGTCTGCGTGAAACATTCCTGACATAACTTTGTTTCCTTTTTCATCTCTCTCCATATTTGACACATCAACACCAAAATTACACTCTTATTTCTTTTTTCATTCTAATCAGGTCGATGAGAAAAAGTAGAGGTGATAGGGGAGAACCCTGTCTGAGTCCTCTTTTTATATCTGCCGGTTCTGTCATTTCTGCATATTATGGTATAACAACCTTATTATTTGTTTATACCTGGTGTAAAAGCCTAATCAAATGAGAATGTGAATCATACTCTCTCAGCTGTACCGGGAGTTTTTCCTGACCCACATTGTCGTACGCACCTTTAATGTCTAGAAATGCTATTATTAACGATATGCTGAATAAGTTATCTTCTAATCTTCTATACCTCCGGAACCCGTTTTGTAGCTCACCTAAAATGTTTTTGGCCCATTCTTCCTTTCTTTTTTAGTACCTGCATCGTTAGTCTGTACAGGACCGAAGTTACTGTTATTGAGTGGTATGATGTTATGCTATCCTTATTTCCCTTGCCTTTATATAGTAATCTTATGCCTAATCTCCAATCATTGGGTAACTCTCCCCCATTATTATTTGATTAGTTGCCTGTCTTAACTTTAGTTTGCCCTTTGCTCCTGGTGTCTTGATTAGTCTCATCCCTATGCCATCAGGGCCTGTCACCGTTCCAGCAGGTACTTTGTTTTCTGTTCTGTACCATTCCCCGGTGGTCGTCTCTCCTCTCTCGTTAATGTTCTCGTCTTGTGCCTTGTTGCTGTTTGTGTTATGTTAAATTTCGTTCGGTTCAAGTCATGAGAGTGTTGCCTCGATTGTTCATCTTATAAATTTCATTGCCTCCTCGCCCTCTACACCTATCGCCTCTTGTGTGATCAATTAACAATGAAACCCTTCTGTTTTTCTTCCCTGTGTACTAATGTGCTCCCAGAACCTTTTTGCTGCATTCCCATCATTTTGATTTACCTTCATCATTTACTGCACTCCAGCTCTACCAATCTTGGCCTAGATTAGAGCAGGTGCCTCTCTTTTTCTTTGCTGAAATGTATTTCATTTCGATGCTACCTCGGCCGGTATGTCCCCCTTTTTCTTCGCCCATCTGTGTTCCCTTGAGGCCTCTTGTCGCCCTGTTATGGTTGCCTTAACTTCGCTGTTCCACCAGCTTTTTCATCTGTGTCTCCTTCTCTTTCTCCCTCTTTGTTTGATTCTGAACTTCTCTGACCCTCTTTTGAAAGTGTTTACTAAATAGTCATATAGATCCATTTTCTCTCCAGTTGTCTGGATGCTATAGTCTCAATTATTTCTGATACTTCTTGTAGTTGGGCAGAGGAGCGCGTGGCTCGCGGTACAGGCTGCGCCGCCTGGAAGTGAGCCTAGGAGCGAGGGTGCGTGGCCTACTCCGACGTGTTCACGCCCCTCCTCTACGCTCCCCAAGCTTCAGCAGTGCGCCTCTTAGCGCGCTGAAAGCTATCACCGCTATCTTTGCTAAATCAGCGCGTGCGGTGCAAAGAAGCTCGCCGCATTTGCCGAGCAGGCAAAGATAGCGGTGACAGCTTTCAGCGCACTGAGAGGCGCACTGCCGAAGCTGGAGGAGCGCCAATCGAGGGGCGTGAACACATCGAAGTAGGCCACGCAATCTCGCCCCTAGGCTCACTTCCAGGCGGCGCAGCCTGTACCCCGAGCCACGCACTCCTCTGTTCGCATTTCATTTTTCCCCGATAGTACATATCATAAGAAAATGCAACCCCAAATTATCTGAAATATGCTCTGCAAATTGTTTCTGGCGTTTTTATCTTCCAGAGACACGTGTATAATAGGTGACCTGGTATCTTGTCAAGAACAAACCTCAAATGCCAAGCTATGTCGAAAATGTTCACTTCGGTGCGCGCTATTTTAGGCCAGATTTGATCCGAATATGAAGGTCACTCTTTTCTGCATGATTATTTGCCTGCATCACCGTGCTCAGTGTAAACAATATTGGTCAGGAAAGCAAGCGTTGTGATTGCCGCTCAGTAATTTTCCTGACATTTTGAAAATATTGCTGCTCTTAGCTCAATTTGCATCATCATATATATTGTGAAACATTTTATAAACTAGATTTCAGGACATATATGGCGAGGACGTGCCAATCTCACGATATGATGTACTGTAATTAATTTCTAAGTGCAAGAGCACAGCAGGATTCGACTTTTAATACTGAGACGCAAAGTTGTACCAATTACGCGCATATTAGGAGAACCACCACCGATAACCTTTAGATTCAGGTAAAATATATGCGACTGAGGTAAAAAAAAATAGGTGCTGTCATATATATTAATCTACATTTTCATTTACTGTTTCATCAAAATGAAATAACGGAATTTATTTTTGGTACCCAACCATAAAAGTGGATTCTACGAATGAAAAAAAAAGCTATACAGTTATTCGTTTCACTCTTGAAATAGCGCCTAATGCCAAAGGAACGCGGAAAATATATTCTCAATTTAGCGGTTGAAACCATTATTTTTTTTGCTCCCCGGAACTGAACCTAAAGCCGTGAACTCGAACCGAACCGATAACAATTTCGGTTTGACACTCTGGCCCCAAATGCCCACAGGCTTCGCCGCACAACCAATGTTCCGATCGAACCTCGTCTTTTTTTTTTTTTTTTTTTTTTGCCGCCAAGCAAAAGTTTCTTTCCCGTCTAATTTGAACTGTCCAACTCCCAAGTGCACTCTTGCGGGGTGGGCCCATTTGCTCACCCTTTTTTTTTTGCACCTTAATTCTTGGCCTTGCTTCCCGTCACCCACCTGTTTCCCATTGCTGCTTCCCAGGTCCCGTCACCTAAGAGTATTAGCTCGAAACGTCTGTGCCGTCCTGCTCGTTTCCCCGAAATTGAAAGACTGCCCTTAGCCGGGACCCCTTTGTTATTCACCTTTGCATTATAACCAGGGGCACTTGGCATCAGTTGGTCTATACATATTCACGTCGCGGGCTTTCCGAGTGGTGTCTTCTAGTTTGGGTGGTGAGATGGGGGAGCGCAAACATGTCCAATCCTGTTGGGAAGTGGCGGAGAAAAGACTGCAACAGCCGTTTGGAATTCTACGCACGGTGGTCGTTTGTACCTTGATCAGTGCTTCTTTTGCACCGCTGCTGCGTTCAGCGGGGCTGGACGGAGGAATGTTGTCGCAACATTGCTGTCCCAAGTTTTCAAGAGAAGCTTGCGTTTCACGAAAGATTGCGCGCACGCAGAAGAAAACGTTTCGACAGAGTGGATTGTAAAGCGACATATTATTATTGACTTCACATTTGCACGAATTTTATTACATCTGTCTCATCTTACCTCACGATTGAAATCCGAGATTAAAATTGACCGATTGTTAACTCGCACAATGATTGGATATACCAGAGATCTAGACGCGTGCCGACGCATTCGTGTACTGTATTACGGTCTCGCTTATTTTAAAGTTTTTTCATGGATCATCAGCAGGTATCTGCTAGCTTAAAATTTTGAGAAAATTAGTCACCTGTAATTTTGCCAAAAAAAACTATAAATGCTTGATCATAGTGGATTTACCTCAGGGAGCTATTCATGGTAAAAATTAAAATAGAAAGAACCAAACCCAGGTTAATAATAACAATAAAAAAACCGTTTCTAAAAAAAAGAATCATTATTGCCAACAACACAACACCTCTTATGAAAAATCTATGCCAATTTAAAGGTATATTTAGGAAGGTTCCTCTTGATTGTTTCCTAATCTTCTTTGTAAAGTAATGACAACCAGAATTACTTTAGCAAACTAACAAGTTACTCTTTCACTTTTGTAACTGTAATGTAGCAGGGTTACTTTTTCCCCGAGAGACTGTAACTGTAACACTGTTACATTTTAGCAGTCACGTCCCCATGACTGCACCCTTGTTGCCTTTTACTTATACAGCTGCAGTGAGAATAAGCACACTGCATAGAAATCTGTCACAACTTCAAGATGCATACAAAAACTAGGTGCAAAGCAAATTTTGAAGAAACTCCTTTATTTGGCCACACGATGGTAGAAAGCTAGGTAAATGCGACACTAAACATGTCTAATAAATAGTACTTGGTTGTCAATGCCTGCATTCGTCTGGTTGTGGCTTGACTTGCAAGTATAAATTGGAGTCATGCATAGTACTTAGAAAAACAATAAAATGCACACGATGTGCAATCAAGACAGGTTGTGGAATGCAAATACGTGGGGCCCATCCTTGATTCACATACAAGGCTCGACATAGTTCCCAGGAAAAAGACCCGTCACACCGTTCATAACACCTTCGTACCAGCCGTCGTCATTCTTCTTAACAACATATATAACCGAGTTCTCGGAGAAGGAGAGTTCATCGTCCTTGTCTGCAGCATAATCATAGATGGCAACAACTGAAAAAGGAAAAAAAAAAAAAAAACTCATTCAGCAAAAACGTGAGTGCTCCATTGTAAAAAGCAGGCATCAAAATGTCAGTGTATAACCTTGAAAATGCTCATTTCTTTCAGAATTGAAGTGCTCAGAGCAAAATAGGCATATCCCCAAAACTCCATCATATGAATACAGATATCAAATTATACCAAGAAGACCAAGTCTATTTAAAAATACAATAGGAATCAATTAAATTGATTTCTTAAATGAATGGTAAAAGGGTTTTAGAGCCTGCACTGACCTCCAATCACTCGAAGCTGATCATAAAATGACTTCACAATATCTGGAAAATAAAGCTTTGAACTGAATTCAATTGAAGTGGGCATCAAATTTGTAAAATCTAATTCTTAAAGATTTGCATCAATTTGGGAGTGGGCAGTGTTCTATGCATAAGATCGTGTAACATGGAAATCTTGCAGCATTTACCACACTGAAACACGTCATATGCAAGACACTTAAAAATAATTTTAAAGGGACATTTTTCATGAAGAACAAATTAATGCCTAGTTCTCATCTAAACCTCACATAACAGTTTCGCTGTGTGATAATTAATTAACCCATGATCTAAGTTATGCCAACCATGCTATCGAGACAGAGGATAAAACCAGAAGAGCAACAAAATTAGCTGTTGTTGTTTGCGGTTCTAACGGCGCAAGAGCATCAATGGCCATACTGCGCCAAAACAAAACAAAATTAGCCTGGCTGGTTCCAAAGTAAAATGTTTTTAACTGAACAATGTTTATAATACATTCCTTTGCATTGACTAGCATACTTTTTTAATAAAGGCTCACACTTGTTAATTATTGAAGCGGTATGATAAAATATAATACTGATCACCATGGGCGTACTAACCGGGGGTCAAAGGGCTCGCTTTCCCCCACCCAGTTCTCAGGGTGGGGGGAGCTAGTCATGTGTTTTGCACCCCCCCTGAAACAGCCGCCACTGGGCAGGGCAAACACTGGCCGGCAGCGCCCAAGGGCACCGCACAGTGGCCCAGGGAGGGGGGGGGGGGGGGGGGGGGGGTCTGGTTTGCACCCCCAACTCAAAAACAAGTTGGCAAGCCACTGCTGATCACATGATAGTATCATCGTGCAATCAAATGGCACAAGAGATAAAATGCCTTTTGACTGAAACAAATACTGTAAACGACTTAATTTTTGCGAGGACCTAATTTTCGGGAATCGCCTATAATTCGCGAAAAATAGGTCCCACAAACAATTCCGGCAAAATGCAAACACATTGGAATCAATATTGAGATCCCCCCTAGTCGCAAAAATTAGAACTTGTGAATTATTCTAAAATTTCAGGTTTGATCTAAATTGCGAAATATTGAGCCCGCAAAGAATAAGCCGTTTACAGTATGCCATTTTGACATTTGGCATTAGGGCAAACGAGGGTAAAAATAAGTTCAAAATCAATTAAGAGATGTAGCTGTTAATATAGACCTGTGTACTGTTACATCAACATACGGAGGGCTCTGGATCATCAAGTTAAAGGAAAAGATCCACCTTACCATTTAGGCTTAAAACTTGCAAAACATTGCAAAATTGCCTTTTTCTTTTTAAGAAGAACAAAACAATATATAGGAAGTCTGAAATAATTAAGCTCAATCTAAACTGGGCCGCAAAGATCGGCGCCTGCATGTAGCAATCTAAATTTTTTGTCAAGGGCGTATTGCCGCGCGCCAAGTAGGCAGCGCGGCCGTAGCCTAATGGTTATCGCGCTTGCCTCCCACGCGAAGGGCCAGGGTTCGATTCCTGGCCACGGCTATGCATTTTTGTTAACACTGTAATGTGACGTTCTGGTGAAATCGAGAACCGTCTAGCTGATTCGAGGTCAGAATGTTCTACTCGTCGAACCTTCTACGTCGAATGCTCCAGAAGCCAACGTGTGTACAAAAGCGGCTCCGCGGGCAAGCCGGAGCCAGTCTCGCCCCAGCGCTCGATTCTGCTGACACGCCGACTTCGACGCCCGCGACGCTCTGCTTTCTTCTGTTTCCTTCTTTATTTTTGGCACAAGTTCGCCACATTAAACGTTTATTTCTCCCTGTTTATTTCCTGTTTTCTTTTGGTCACCACCCGTGACATTTTGGTGGAGGTGCGCGGTACCGCATGTTCGTACAGCGTTCCCCTCCCAGGGCCCGCAGTGCAAGCCCGATTCCAAGCCCTGTGACAAGACCACTCAACGCGGAACCTGAAACTCGGACCAGTCGCCGCACCCAAGGTCTACACCCGGAATACGGACTTCTGCCACCCAGGACCAGGCAGCCTACGAGGCCGACGATGGACGACCAGCAATCGCAGTCCCCGACCGCCGCCGCCGTCGTCTACCTGCCTGTTGCCCAGCGAACCCCGACGACCTTCCATGGCGAGACCCATGAAGACGTAGAGGACTGGCTCCTGCACTACGAACGTGTAGCACGCCATAATGGATGGACCACTCAGCAGCGCCTCCAAAACCTCTACTTCTCCTTGGAGGGTACCGCGAGGCAGTGGTTCGAGAACCACGAGGCGTCGCTTACGTCGTGGGACACCTGTATCGCTGGCCTGAAGGAGACATTCACGAACCAGACACGACGACAGCGAGCGGAAGACCTCCTTCAAGTCCGAACTCAAGGGCCCAACGAAACGGTAACCAGCTTCGTTGAAGCCGTCCTCCGCCTGAGCAGCCGCGCCGACCCTCAGTCCACCGAGGAAAAGAAGCTGCGTATCCTGATGCGCGGCGTGAAGGACAACATTTTCGGTGGCCTCGTACGCAACCCACCGACGACGATTCAAGAATTTGTAACCGAGGCGACGAACATTGAGCGTGCACTGCAAGCCCGAGCCAGCCACTACCAGAGGCTACCCGGCGTCAGCGCGGTTCCGCCGTCCGCTTGCGACCTTGGCTCCAGCATCTCCAGCATTCGCGAGGTCATCCGGGACGTCGTCCGGGAGGAAATTAAGAAGCTCCTGCCTGCTACCCACCAGCCGGCTTCGGTGTCAATAGCCGCAGTTGTCCGCGACGAGGTTCAGCGGGCAATTCAACTGGAGGCTCCTGCCAACGTAGCTGCACCCGAGGAGCCCACCGTGACCTACGCCGCAGTGGCCCGACGGCCACCGCCTCCTCCTCGCGCCTATGTCGCGCCGCCCCGACGCCAGTCTCCTGCGCCGCAGCACGACCGACGCCGCGACGACCAGCCCCAGTACGCCAGCCAGGAGCCCCGTGTACCCCGGAAGACCGATGTGTGGCGAACGGCCGACCGACGCCCGCTCTGCTACCACTGCGGGGAAGCCGACCATGTGTACCGCCGATGCCCATACCGACGACTCAAGCTGCGGGGATTCCACCAAAACGACCCACGCCCGAGGTACGGCGAACGCCCTCGCGACATCGAGGAGTACCTCCGACGTTCGCCCTCCCCAGTGTCGTCTCTCCGCCGTGAAGCCCGCTCCCCATCGCCACGACGTTCAGCCTCCCCAGCGCCACGATCCCGCCGAGAGAGCTTGTCTCCCCTGCGTCGTCGGGAAAACTGAGTGCGGCAACGCCTGGAGGTGACGTTGCCGAGAACGACGGAAGCAAACAGCCTCCAAGAACGCCGGAGCGCTCCCACTCTCTCGACGCCCCACATTGCACCGACGCGCCTGCAACGGTGTCCAACAACCTAAACGTTGTTATCGATGGCCAAAACGCATCGGCACTCGTTGACACCGGGGCAGACTACTCAGTCTTGAGTGGGAGGCTCTCTCGCCACCTTCGAAAAGTCACGACGCCGTGGGATGGACCGCAGATACGAACCGCCGGAGGACACCTCATCACGCCTGTCGGAAGGTGCACCACTCGCGTCGAAATTCACGGCAAGACGTGTCCTGTGAAATTTGTCATTCTACAAGACTGTTCCAGAGACGTCATTCTCGGCATGGACTTTTTGTGTGAATACAGCGCCGTCATCGACCTTGGAGAAAACAGATTGACGCTACGGACACCTGTTCCGCCTTCAGAGAAACTCCAAACTGCGTCAGCCGCCGTCCGAGTCGCTGCCGACCACGTGAATCTGCCGCCGCGATCAAGTGTTGTCGTACCTGTCGTGACCGATGCAGCTACCCGTAGCGAAGTTCTTCTGGAAGGTAACCTCCAGTTGCTCCTGGGAAGGGGAATAGGCGTCGCACGAGGAGTAGCTGAACTTCAGGATGGCCGCACTGTGGTCCTCGTGACGAACTTCCGGAATGAAACGCAACACCTCACAAGAAATGCAGCCGTTGACCACGTCGAGGATCTCCGAAACTCCGCCGAAATCGCCGCCATTATTGATAAATCCTCGCCACCTCAGCAAGACGGTACGTCGCCAGCGCAACTCGACGTCGACCCTAAGCTTCCAGACCCGAAACGACGGCAGCTGATTGACCTCCTCGCCGAATACCGTGACTGCTTTGCGACGTCGTCGAAGGTGCGCCAGACCGCGGTTGCCAAGCACCGCATCGTTACCGAGGACGACGCGCGCCCTGTGCATCGATCGCCGTACAGAGTCTCCGCTAAGGAAAGGGAGGTGATCCATCAGCAAGTTCAAGAGATGCTGAATGACGACATAATTCAATCTTCGAGCAGTCCATGGGCCTCTCCAGTCGTGCTGGTTAAGAAAAAGGACGGAACTCTTCGGTTCTGTGTGGACTACCGGCAGCTCAACACGGTTACGAAGAAAGACGTCTACCCACTCCCCCGCATCGACGACACTCTAGACCGGCTGCGCCACTCTCGATACTTTTCATCGATGGACCTGAAGAGCGGCTACTGGCAAATCGAGGTCGACGAACGGGACCGAGAGAAGACAGCCTTCGTCACGCCGGATGGACTGTACGAGTTCAAGGTGATGCCCTTCGGACTATGCACGGCGCCAGCAACTTTCCAGCGTGTCATGGACACCGTACTGGCAGGGCTGAAGTGGCAGAGTTGTCTCGTCTACCTTGACGACGTCGTAGTATTTTCAGCTGAGTTCGACGAGCACTTGAGACGACTCCGAGCTGTTCTTCAAGCCATTCAGACCGCCGGACTCACACTCAAGCCGTCAAAGTGCCGGTTCGCCTATGACGAACTGAAGTTCCTTGGCCACGTGGTTAGTAACGAAGGCGTCCGCCCAGACCCCGAGAAGACTCGCGCCGTCGCGGCATTTCCAGCGCCGACAGATAAGAAGGCCGTGCGAAGATTCCTTGGACTTTGTGCCTATTATCGACGCTTCGTTCGGGATTTTGCAAGAATTTCCGCACCACTTACGAATCTCACGAAAGACGCCGAGAAGTTCGAATGGGCCGAGGAGCAACAGCAGGCATTCGACGAACTGAAACGACGACTCCAGACTCCTCCTGTGCTTGGACATTTCGACCAGGATGCGGAAACAGAAATTCACACAGACGCAAGTAACGTGGGACTGGGCGCAGTACTAGTCCAAGTGCAAGAAGGCATCGAGCGAGTCATCGCCTACGCAAGTCGGACATTGTCCAAGGCGGAGAAAAATTACTCCACGACTGAGAAAGAATGCCTTGCGGTCGTCTGGGCAATAACGAAGTTTCGTCCGTACTTGTACGGGAGCCCGTTCCGTGTAGTCACGGACCACCACTCGCTCTGCTGGCTTGCGAACCTGAAGGACCCGTCAGGACGCCTCGCTCGATGGAGTCTTCGACTACAAGAGTTCAACATGACAGTGGTCTATAAGTCAGGCCGCAAGCACAGCGACGCCGACTGCCTGTCCAGAGCCCCCGTTGAAACCCCTTCCGGCTGCAGCGACGACAATGACGACGAGTGCTTCCTAGGAGCAGTGAACACCGACGATATGGCACAACGTCAACGGGACGATCCTGAGCTGCGCGCATTAATCGAGCACCTGGAAGGGGGCAGGAGTACCGTGCCACGTGTCTTCTCACGAGTACTGCCGACCTTCGCCATCCGACAAGGTGTACTCTACAAAGAGAACTTCGGCGACAACAACACACCGTGGTTGCTGGTGATCCCGAGTGACCTTCGAGAGGAGATCTTCCAAGCCTACCACGACGACCCGACATCCGGACACCTTGGTTACAGCCGGACACTGGCCCGTATTCGTGAAAAGTATTACTGGCCGAAGCTCCCCAAGACCGTCCACCTATACACACGATCATGCCACGAGTGCCAGCGACGCAAGAAACCGCCGACGAGGCCGGCCGGACTTCTGCAGCCCATTTCTCCTCCAACTACACCCTTCCAGCAGATCGGAATGGATCTATTTGGTCCTTTTCCGCCTTCGATGTCGGGGAACCGCTGGATCATCGTCGCCACAGATTATCTCACGCGGTACGCCGAAACGAAAGCTCTTCCTTCAGGGACTGCTGTGGAAGTCGCCAAGTTTTTCATAGAGTCCATCGTCCTCCGGCACGGCGCTCCCGAAGTTCTGATTACAGATCGCGGATCTTCGTTCATGGCCCAGCTGACGCAAGAGATCCTTCGTCTCAGTGGCACCGGCCATCGTCGAACCACTGCATACCACCCGCAGACTAACGGGCTGACCGAGCGACTCAACAAGACAATCGCCGATATGATCTCTATGTACGTCGACGTAGAGCACAAGACGTGGGACGAGGTGTTGCCCTACGTCACGTTTGCCTACAATACGGCGGTTCAGGAGACCACTGGATTCACCCCTTTCCAGCTGGTACTACATGGTCGGAAGGTAACGACCATGCTGGACGCAATGCTGCCCCATGAGCCATCTGACAATGAGAGCGACGACGCCCAGGCGGTTGCTCAATGCGCCGAAGAAGTCTGCCAGCTCGCCCGACTCATGATTCAAGACCAGCAACGCGTCGACGCGGGCCGCTACAACCTTCGTCGCAGAGACGTTCACTTCCAGCCCGGAGACAGGGTGTGGGTGTGGACGCCCATCCGTTGCCGCGGCCTCAGTGAGAAACTGCTGAAACGGTACTTTGGACCATACAAGGTACTTCGTCGCCTCGGCGAGCTGAACTACGAGGTGATGCCCGACGGAACAAGAACATCATCACGCCGCCCACCATGACCTGAAGTCGTCCACGTCGTGCGCCTGAAGCCGTACTACGCTCGATAGGACTGTGGATCTTATGTGTTTCAAGTGACTCTTTAGTTTGCCGTTCTTTTTATGTGCTTTGTTTTGTTTTGGGATGCATCGAGGCGATGCACTTTTTAAGGGGGGAGTAATGCCGCGCGCCAAGTAGGCAGCACGGCCGTAGCCTAATGGTTATCGCGCTTGCCTCCCACACGAAGGGCCAGGGTTCGATTCCTGGCCACGGCTATGCATTTTTGTTAACACTGTAATGTGATGTTCTGGTGAAATCGAGAACCGTCTAGCTGATTCGAGGTAAGAATGTTCTACTCGTCGAACCTTCTACGTCGAATGCTCCAGAAGCCAACGTGTGTACAAAAGCGGCTCCGCGGGCAAGCCGGAGCCAGTCTCGCCCCAGCGCTCGATTCTGCTGACACGCCGACTTCGACGCCCGCGACGCTCTGCTTTCTTCTGTTTCCTTCTTTATTTTTGGCACAAGTTCGCCACATTAAACGTTTATTTCCTGTTTTCTTTTGGTCACCACCCGTGACAGTATTTCATAAGTTGGTTTTACCATGTGAAATTACGAAGCGTAGCTCCCTTTCTGTAAAAAAAAAAATAGGACCAAAAAACTTGCCTGGGTCAACAGCGGACTATATTAATGGCGCTACCTCCTTATCGAGACTGCTTGCGCCGACCGCGGTCTATTAAAACGAACACATTTTTTTAATGTACCTTTGGTTCAAAAATAAATGCGTAAAATGAAAGCAAAACTAAGTAAAAAAAAAAGCAAAAAAAAAAAAAAAAAAAAAAAGCAAAAAAGAAGGTGCATAACGACGGCATTTTTGCTGCCAACAGATTTCGTCTCCGTGTCGCCTGCTCTCTTTCGCTGGTCGGCTACGCCCTCTGACGCTGTTCCCAAAACCATTTATCAACATGTGCGCCAAACGCGCCCTGCCATTCGACTCTGTCGTCTGCGTCGCCATCCACCGTCGACCCTGGCAAGTTTTTTGGCGCTATTTATTACAGAAAGACAGCTACACCTCGTAATTTTACAAGATGAAACCAACCTGTGAAATACAGCTTTCACGAGGAGTTCAGATTGCTACGTGCCGTCGTTATGCACCTGCTTTTCTTTTTTTTTTTGCTTTTTGTTACTTAGTTTTGTTTTCATTTTACGCATTTATTTTTGAACCAAAGGTACATTAAAAAAATATGTTCATTTTAATAGACCGCGGTCGGCGCGAGGAGTTCAGATTGCTACCTGCCGATTTTTACGGCCCATCTTATACTGAGCCTCGTTGTTTCAAACACCTTATATATATTTCAAGTCCTTACAGTACAGAGTACATCGACAAGAAATATCAATATTCATCTGAAACTAACTAGTGAAAAAAAAAACAAAAAAAAAAACTTAATACTGAACAATTTCACGCATTGAAAGAAACTTTAAATATGATTTACCCTGCTCCTCTTTTTTTTTTTTTTTTCTTTTTTGCTCACAGTCGTGGAGAATTTAGTGAACTTCATATACTTTTTTTTCGCAACAACTGAACTGTTTTATAGTTTTTTTTTCATATTCAAAGTTGAATAGATTGACAATACTAGCTGTAAATTGGGGTAATTATCATATCATTCTTTCCTATTTAAAAGTGATTTATTTACAGTAAATAACGATGCTCCATAAACATTCTATTGACTTTAAACAAAGATAGGGTGGACAGTTGGACATCACCAGACATAGTTAAAAAAAAATTTTTGTTTAGCTAAGAATCCCCCAAACAACCTACAAGGTAGGATTTGCATTTTGCCTTATCTTTTATTTGAGTTAAGATCTAGCTACAGGTCAAAATTAATGATTAAGACATCTGCTCGCCGGATCTGAATAAGTGGCTTAGATATTGCATCAAATTGTTTGGAGGGGAATAAACAAAACATTTTTTGAGCATGAAGCATCTATTCAAAACAAAGTCACTTCACCAACAAGAAGGCTCAATACAAAAGCGGTCTCATCCTCTGGTCACTTTCTCGAGGGATATGCTCAGCATGCATCCTATGGTTTGATGCAAGTTAAGAATGTGCCAAACAAACACCACCAGATATTGATCACAATGTCAGATCTATCCACGGATTAACCAGAAAAGACAGTGGGCCGCAACGAGTTGTGCGAAGTCTGTGCAACATGCACTTCGGTAGTGGACTATTTGCACATTGCAGAGGAACGATCGCTGGCAGTAATGAGGGCCTCGGAAGACCCTCTGGCACATTCTCAACTTGTATCTAAAATCAGTATTGAGAAAGCCAGCAAGGTTTGAAGGAGGAGAGCAGGGATACCTTTCTCCAGGTAGGTCTTGGGCACCCAGTCGTGGTCGGCGTCGGCCCGCTGACGCCCGTAGGCTGGTGGGGAAGGCGGAACGTGATTACCAGGGTACAAGGGCTCGGGAGGTGGTGGAGGGGGGAGCGGAGGCGAGACTGCACCAACAGAACAACGGGCGGGCAAGAGACAACGCGCTCGCTTGGGGCTCCCAGCTGCATGCCTGGGCCAGGACACCCAAAGGGTCTCCGTCGCCCAGAGCTCATGCGCGGGCAGGGGTGGCATCCTCCCAAACGAGCTGCCATGTATGCAGACTTTGCCCAAGGGGCGCTCGTTAAAATGAATGTCGTGTGTAGTTGATGGACTCGAGGAACGAGACAAAACTTTAAACCGGTATAGCGCTCTATTGGATGATGAACTATCATCTATCTGTTTCTGGTTCATACAACTCTGACCATTTGCTTTGCAAAGATTAAATCTTTTTCTGCCATTGGCAACGTGCAAAATCTGAGTGACCCTAGGGCTGGGTGCATACTGGGAAACAACTGTCAACAAAGATCTGAATTTCAATTCCTACCACCGTAACATGGCCAGGCACGGACACTGTCGACCTCCACCTTACACCCCACCGCAAAGTACCTTGTCGTAGAATTCGTGGATTGATCCGTGTGTGCATCTGATGTAGTAAGTACATAGTATACTTTCCCTTTCGTGGCTTTATCAGACTGTGAGCTATTCAAGGCCAAAGCAAAACATGTTGAAACAGTGACAGAGAAAGGAAAACACGACTTAAGAATGATAACTAGGACACAAGGACATTGTGAAAGCCTGATGATAATCTCAGTGCTGGCCTCCCGTGAAGTAGCATGTCGAAGTTGAAACCAATTGGTGGAAATGCCGACTGGCGGAGAATTTAACTTCGTTGTTGCAACATGATTTGCTTTCGCCTCGAATCGTTTATAGTGTCAAAGGGTCACGAGAAGAAATGCATACTTCCTGCATCACTGCCACATGACGATCAATCCAAGAAAACTATGGCGAGGCATGCAGTGGTGAAATGCAAGGCATAGGTCCAAGGGGTTCACGGTTTGCCGCAGCTCGACGAAGGAGACCAAAACTCGGTTCTTTGTTGACACAGGTTTCCCGGAATGCGCCTCGGCCACTAGGGTCACCTGTGTTTTGCACGTTACTTGTTAGGAAGTTTTCTGCTCGACTTTATACATTTTACTTATCACATTTTCCATGAACCGTTTGAGTGGAAATTTTCGCCAGCTGACGTTGCCACCGGTGCATTCTTTTCTTTAATCTCAAATTGGAGAGAAGACATACTGTCGAGACCGGTTGTAACGAAGTCGGTTATAACGAAATAGCGGCTACAGCGAAGCGATCATGATTTCCCATTCTCTTTTGTACTTCGTTATAACCGAAGTCGGCTACCGTATTTACTCGCAGAATGAACAAACTTTTTTTTTTTTAGAAAAATCGATGCAAAGTTGGGGGGGGGGGGGGGGGGGGGGGGGGGGGCGTTTATTGCGCGAAGTAAACTTTTTGCGTCCGTATCTACTCTCTACTCTCGAATAATGAAGGGACCTTTTATCCTGAAAAATCGAAGTCACTTAACTCTTTGCGCGCGGCGCCCGACCCCGTAACCAAACTAAGCTGTGAAAAAAAAAACAAAAAAAACTCCTTTGTTTTCTTTTTTTTTCTTAGTTCCTTGGGTTTTTTTTTTTTTTTGCCGCCTTTCCCAAGCTGATTTGTTTGCTTAGGCGTTGCTAAATCGAGGGCTCTCCGTGTCGTATAAGTAAAAGTACGACCGTACTCCGTCGTGTCTCAGACAGCACTCGCTGACTCTTTATTTTCCTAGCCCTAACGATACAGTCGCAGCGCAGCAGCAGCGCTCGGAACCAGCACGCCACCGCTCCCACTCCCGGACGTTCGCTGAACCACTTAAACCCAATAATGATTCAGTAACACTACATCTTCCCCCCTTTAAAGTTCTATGGCCCTAATGTACAACTGAACTAGTCAGCTCGACGTTCAGTCATCAAATCCCAGTCTTTTGGGAGGTCTCACGATTCGACCCGACCGCGTATGCTGCAGTCCGACGGGAGATCTCGCTGTGTTCTGGTTGGCACTGCACGTTTCACCAGAGGTCTCCCGGGGCGAGTCCTGCGGCTGCGGCAGGGGAATCACCTGGCTGCGGTTTCTTCTCAGGGTTCCAGAACTTGTTTCGACGTACAAGGATCTGGGCGTTTGAGCATGGCCCACAACCGTGCCCGACGTGCGAAGCTCTGGAAGCCAAACCGGATCGTCCTCTTTGAGGGGTGCCAGTGGTCTTGCTCTGTGGCGCCTGTCATAATTCCGCTTCTGCCTTTGTCTCTGTTTCTGATCCTTCCTTTTCCATGCTGACTGGTTGAAGGTTCGGGGCTTCAGTTGATCAGGATACATGGGAAGTCTGCTGCGGAGCCTTCTTCCCATGAGTAGTTGGGCGGGACTGAGCCCTGTAGGGCCTGGCGTGTTGCGGTAGTTAAGCAGCGCCAGATAAGCATCTGCACTCTTCTTCACAAAGCTCTTGATTGTCTTCACCATTCGTTCAATTTCCCCATTGGCTTGGGGGTACCTCGGACTTGTTGTGATATGTTGAAACCCGTAATGCTGGGCGAAGTTCTTGAACTCTGTCGCGGAAAATTGCGGACCATTGTCCGTAACTAGGACCTCCGGTATCCCATGTCGGGCGAATATACTCTTCATTCGCCCTATAACAGCCTTTGCTGAAGTGGAGGACTGAAGAATGGCGACTTCAGGATACCTGGAACGGTAATCAACCAGCAGGAGATAGTTCACACCATCGAGCTGGAACAGGTCAGCGGCGACTTTCTGCCAGGGCAATTCTGGCGTTTGAGACGACAACATCGGTTCTCGAGCTTGATTCTTGTACATCGCACATTCTGCACACTTGTCTACGATGTCTACTATGGCCCTGCTGATTCCCGGCCACCAAACGGACTCCCTTGCCCGTGCTCGACATCGTACAATCCCTTGATGTCCCTCGTGGATCCGCGTTAGCATCTCTGCTTGAAGACACTTGGGAATGATAAGCCGGGGTCCTTTCAACAGTAGGCCTTGGCACACCGTTATGTCGCCTTGCTCTCCAAAGAACGGCTTCAGGTTCCATGAAAGTTTGCTTTTCGATGGCCAGCCGTCCTCACAGTACTTGAACAAACTTGCAGTCTTGGTCCTCCCTCTGGAGCTTCCGGATCCTCTGAAGAAGGTCTTCCGACGCCGGCAGTGTGCTGATTGCCCCCAAAACAAATGACGAAACCTCGGCAGGGTTCAACATGCCCTCAGATGACGCATCTTCGCAGGGCGCTCTCGAGAGCGTGTCAGCTGTTGCCATGTTCTTTCCTGGGATGTATTCGATCTTGTACGAATATCGCATCAGGCGCATTCGAAACCGTTGCACCCGTGGGGGCAGCATATCCAGGTTATGCTGGCCCAGCAGTGGGACCAGGGGCTTATGGTCTGTCTGAAAAACGAACTCCAGTCCTCGGAGATACTCTTCAAATCTCTCAGCCGCCCATGTCAGTGCGAGGGCTTCTTTTTCGATGTGCGCATAGCGCTGTTCTGTTGGAGTAAGAGAACGAGAAGCGAACGCAACTGCACGGAGTTCACCATCTCGTTGTTCTTGAAGGAGCACCGCTCCCAGCCCATGGGATGAGGAGTCGGCTGAGACGATGGTACGAGCAGAACTGTCATACTTTGCAAGGCATCTCTCTGATGTGATCATTTGCTTGACTTTGTCAAGGGCTCGTTGTTGCTCCAATCCCCAAGTCCACTCATTGTTCTTCCGAAGTAGTTCGCGAAGTGGTGCTGTCACTTGCGACAGGGTGGGCAAAAAGCGTGCAACATGGTTCACCATACCCAACACCCGTCGGAGTCCAGATACATCTGTAGGGGCAGGTAGAAGCTGGATTGCCTTGACCTTCTTTGGATCTGCACGGATGCCATCCTTGTCGAGGATCACTCCTAAAAACGACACCTCAGTGACGCCAAACTGACACTTGCCGGGGTTGAGCGTCACACCGGACCGGGCGAGTTGCTGCAGGGCTGCTCTCAGTCGGTTGTCGTGTTCTTCTCGCGTGGCTCCGTAAACCAAAACATCGTCCATTAAATTCTGGATACCTTGAACTCCGTCCAGAATCTCTGTCATCTTTCTCTGAAAAACTTCAGGTGCCGAGGTTATACCAAAGGGCAGTCTCTTATAGCAATATCTCCCAAATGGCGTTATAAACGTGGTCAGCTCTTGTGACTCGGGGGACAAGACAATCTGGTGAAATCCAGAGTTTGCGTCTAGTTTGGAGAAAAACTTTGCTTCGCCGATGTTCGCCAGAACTTCCTCCACGGTAAGCATGATGTGTCGCTCTCGACGCACAGAGACATTCAGTTTTGTAAGGTCGACGCAGATTCTGATATCGCCCGATGGCTTCTGAACGGGTACGATAGGAGCGCACCAGTCGGTCGGGCCGTGAACTTTGCTGATGATTCCAGTGGCTTCGAGTCTCTGCAGCTCCTTTTCGACTCCTGGTCTCATCGGAAATGGAATTCGTCTTGGCGTGCTGACTGCAAATGGTTCCGCGTCAGGTTTGAGCTGAATTCTGTGTTCCCCTTGGATCGTTCCAAGCCCTTGGAACACTTCCGGACACATACTTTCGTACTTGGACCTGTTGTGGGAAACGTCGTTGAGAAAGCGAACCATCCCGAGGGACTCGATTGCTGGCATTCCCAGCAGTGGCATTTGGAGATCTCGAACGACGTAGATAGTCTCTTCTGAAACCTTGCCCTGCCATTCGACCGTAGCCTTAAACTTCCCCAGTACGTCCAGGCTTTTCTTGTTCGGTCCCCTTCAAATCCTCGGCTTGCAGAAGTCTTGGCGGCTTGCCAGCGAAGTCTTCTCCGACGACGGTGACGTCAGCGCCTGAGTCAATCTTTGCTCGGAGCGGGGTGTCTGTTCACAGTCACCACAGCCAAACGCGCGTTCGGTCCGCTTCGGCATACGCTTCCGAGGAATGAACCGCTCTCAGAC